TATTGGGAAACCATATTGTAGGACCTCTATTTATTGATCAACATTTAACATGGGAACTGTATTTGAATATGCTGACCCTCTCATCACTGAAATCGTCGAAGCGAATCCTAATGAATTCGATATGGATATTGTATTCCAACAATATGGAGCACCACCATATTACTCCAGACAAGTTGGAAACTATTTGGATACTACTTTTCCCGGTCGTTGGATTGGCCGTCGAGGTCCTACAGAATTGCCAGCCCGTTCGCCAGATTTGACACCTTTGGACTTTTTTTATGAGACTATTTGAAGCAAAAGGGGTACGAAATTGAACCTGCTTCGATATTGGATATACGGCAGAGAATAATAAATATTTTTAGAGATATTGACGTTACTGTGTTCGAAAATGTTCGGCGTGATATATCGGATAGGCTATTCATATATCAAGAAGTTCAAGGCAATCATTTCGAGCATCTTTGGAACTGACTTCAAGCTTATTACCTTATATTATGTAGTTAAATGTCAATGGATTCTAGCAATTATTGAAAGTTCCGCTATTTCGTAGTAGTTGAAAATATTGACATTATATTCCAGGGTTGTGAAGCATTTATCAGGAGCTTCAAAAAGATGTGTCACAAGACCTTTCCATTAAATTTTTTTCCATATGGCGCCCAGTCCCAATTTTGAAAGTTTCATCTGTCAATTTGTTAATTTCATTACCCCAAATTTCAATTTTTTGAGTTGACCGTTCAAAAAATAAAAGGGGGGACATTAAAGAAATACACTGTATAGTTGGAAACAGGAGTTTTCTTTCAACTGCATCTTGGTAGTTGGGGTACGAAGTTGTCGGGTATCAAGTCAAAGTGAATTTAATATATGTCAAAGATTTTGACTAACGTTTCTGGAGACCAAGAAACCACATTCGGCTATTTTATGGCCATGAATTAACCTTTTATAATCGATTATCACGCATGCACAATGGTTTTGGGAAAGTCGTAATTCACACAAACACACTCGTCAAAAATATGTGTTCCAATTCAGTAACAGACCAAAATTGAAACATAAAAGCATCAAAAATTCAATATTGGTGAACAAGTTCCTATTTTTTTGCTACAAAACAAATGTGAACAATTCATAGAACCCAGTATATATGCCTAATAGGACAATAGTTCGATGCAGTGATGTTAACAGCTAATCTAAAAAGTAGTCAGATATTTTATTTTCTGGCGAAATCTACTGATTAATAATTTTTAGTTATGGATTTCATATCAGTAAATGTTTCCGAAAATACTGGATGTCTTTTGACATTGGTTTTATAAAAATAGTATAGGTACTCAACAACTTCTCTCATTTTAATAAATAATAGCGCTATACTTCGATATTTATCAAGGAACTGCATTCATTCAACAATCCAACGAGGAAATTCATCTCCATAATTTCCTGGAAGCCAGACGGTGTTACTCAAGTGGAAATTTCTAAGCAGTCAACCGCTTCATCCCAGTTCCGAATTTCTACTGTTACTATAACAATTTATGAACAAAAATAACTCTCAAAAATGCCACTAATAAAGCAATATAATATATGATAGATTTACATAAATTTGATAAAACTAATAAACTTGAAAAACGAGTAGAAAGATGAATATGAGAAATCCTTGAATTGAGATATACAGAAAAAATCGTACATGAAAAGTAACAGAAATAAAAGAGAGTCATCATCAGAAAAAGCGAATTTCAGGAATCAAATTATTTTTCCATGAGGGAAATGAAGTCGTTAATAAATGTTTTATTTTATTTCCAAGTTATTCAACAAATTGCATTTCTTTCTTAATTGGTTTATTAACTCAGAATTCGGCAAACTATTTAGAAATGTCCCATTCATTTCCGTTTATAGAAAGAGAAAGGAAAGTTTTATTGAGTGATTTATTTCTGATTTTCCTAATTTCCTCTTCCAGAAGATAATTAACACGAAGCAAATTGTTTGGTATTCTTTTTAATTATATTTTTCAGTTTTATTTAGTAACTCAATTCTTCTTTTTTTTTTTGGTGAAGAATTAGCACATTATAGATTGATTTGTATTATTTTTATCTGTAACAGTTCATAATGTGCTTCATATATTTTGATATTCATTATTCGTATACTCAATCAAGATTATCGAAATACTATGTCTTTACTGTTCTCTAGTGTACCTCTCAGTTTACCTCTGGTCATTTTATCGATTTTTGTATCAGCTGTAATATCAAATTCAGCCATGTATCAGAATACAGGTCCGTATTCAAAAAAATAAAATTGATGATAAAATCTACTGAAGGAAACGTCTTATGGCAAATTGGTTTATATTAGATCATAACAAATATGGAACATTTTTTTATATCATTCGAAATTGAGGCGTTATAGCTAAAAAACGAAATTAGACAATCCTAGTTTTTGGCGAATATTTCAAAAACAACTACTGATATTCTCGATATTATTTGAGTTTCTCAAAATAGAAAACTTACGTCCAATTCAACCGACCTTGTTGGTCTTACCGTTCGCGGAATAATAATAGTTGGATCAGCTAAAAAATATTTTCTCTATTGCAAAAGCAAAAAAAAAAAATTAGATCCAAAACAAAAACATTCTTGTATTTGTTCTTCCATAATATTCATCAACATATTTCATCTTGAAACTTATCTCTAAAGCGTTTCGTAAATATGAAGAATTACATGATATAATTCTAATTACATGATTATTATTATCTTCTGTTCGTTAAATTTTAATGAGTTTCCGTACCGTCCTAATAATGATGCGTTTAATGGGTTTTATTTTGGCGTTTTTTCCATGTTTGTTTACAATTATCCTAATGATAAGTCATCATCCGTTGGAAATGTATAATAAACCATCCAATAACGCAAAAAAATAGTGGTAATCAACTTGTCTCAGTAAGAACTTCATGCAGAATAGATAAACATTTCGGTTTAACCTTTTCCTCTTCTCTAAATGTATATCGTACGAAGAAATATCTCTCAAATCACCTTCTTGTTTACCGTTGGTGTAAATAATAATAATAATAATACCCAATTATCACCTACCTCATGGTGTGGGGTGCGGTCGTTGGGTGATAATGCTGACGCGCCCTTTCGAATGAATCGGAGCTTCGGGGGATAGGGCCTGACCAGCGCATACTACGGTAGTAAAAAAATAATAATATTCTATGTGCATTCAATTACATAGTCCAATAAAAACATAACCAACAAAAAAAAATATTTCCGGTCGAAACTTTTGGTTGTTTTGAAATATCAATATTCCAAAATTTTCAGTTATATATTAAAATAATTTGTAACATATGAAATAATCTTCAACATTTTAGAGTAATTTGGACATCTACCAAAATAGTTTCTTTTTTGTTACCACTACTTTTGAATCTAATCCTCGATCTGAAACAGAAAGTCAGCTACACATGGAATTCACGAACTTTCTGCTTTTAAATTCTGAAAAAAAAATTACTCCAATAAGGTTCTGTGTGGATTCACTATTTTTCATTAAGGAAAATGCGCCATTCATCAATAATTTGCATTTTTTATAAATTTGACAAAAAAATATACAAATATCGTGTTGAAGGCCAAAATTCGCATGCGGATTTCCACTGCAGAAATGCATAATTTTCAGAGTGAATTGAATACAGTTTTTTGGTGATTTATTATTGGATAAAACCAAGAATCCTATATATTGCTTTGCTAACGACAGCACACTTGTCTCGTCATTACATTTGGATTCCAGGACATCGGCTGCGGATGCACATCTTCACCGGCAGCAGGAGGTTAAATATCTTAATGAGGATCTAGAAGTAATTTCGAATTGAGGTGAAAGTAATCAGGTTCAATTCAGTTCCACAAAAACCCAAGCATCGGTTTCCCAACCGGATATAATAATGTCAGGACAAACAATTCCGCTTTCTGTTTCGATAAGTTTGTTGGAGGTTAAAATGGACACCAATATGTCTTGGCACAATCATTTCGCTGGAATTGCAAATGCTGCTTCTCAAAACCTTGGAACACTGTTCCAAACCAGAAAACTGTACACATTCAAGCAACTTTTAATGCTTCATGAAGCTCAGATCAGACATTCTTTGGAGTATTGTTCCCATGTATGGAGCTCCACCCCCAAACATACCTGAAACTGCTGGATTACACCCACAAAGGAGCTATCCACTTGAATAGAGACGCAAACATCACTTGCAACATTGATAGTCTGGAATATCGGAGAAAGGTTGGAGATTTGTCTCTCATCTATAGATACTTTCACGAGAAGTGTTCAAGTGACTTGGCATATTTGATTCCACCAAGAGCGGTAGGTACATATCAGAAATACGAGACGAACTGTGACTACTCATCGCTTTGGGGTTCACTCAGTACACCTCAGACTTTACTGTTCAAAAACTGTTTCATTTGGAGAACGGCGTATATGTGAAATAAACCTCCTGAGAATAATTCAGTATCCAGCTATTCAAATCCAATGTGAATCACTACTTTCGCATAGACACCGCTCAAAGACCGCCTGGATGATTTCTTGTGTTTTGTCTTGAAAGAAAATTGGAAATACCGTTTTTTTTTTAACTTTATGGTAAGTCATAGGGCAATGGCATTTTTTTAATTTTGAGTGACTGCCAAAAAAATTGTGGATAAAATATACGAGCAAGCTACATCCGTTTTTGAACACAGTTTATATGCTTCACCCGCCCTGTGTCAAGGAGAATGACTCCTCACATCTATTGTGTCCAATTCTAATGTTTCAGCATAATCGAAACAAAAAGAGGAGGAGGAGCGACAGGTATTATGTGACGGGAAAATATTTTTTCGACCGTCACTCACCATTTAATTTAAATCAAAGCATGGAAAAAACATCACACGCATTCCCTCTGCCTACACCGCGATTCAACTGTCAAAGATTCAAAGCCAACTATTTGCACCGCCCAGAAATTTCTTCGACGATCTAGGCGTTCTCCCGAGTCCGTTTCTTGAATGCGCCACCCGGTATTCCATTCACCTGACTGGATAGTGGTTATGCAGCAGAGCCTGCTTGATATTTTCCTCCGGTTAGTCTTAACAGGTGTTTAAACCGTTCAACACATCAAGGCAGTTGTTTCCGCCAGCGACCGGCTACGATCATTTGTTTTTCTCGCGCTGACCGAAACTTTTACTGGGACACCGATCGGCAGGACTGCAAGGACTGTCAGTGACAAGGACGATTTGTACTGTAGTCGGAGATTTTTTTGTGTTTTTCTGTTGACTTTGCGTAAAATACGAATGAATTTACTGTGACACTTTGAGAATTGTGATGTTTGATTTTGGTGGAGCCCTAATGGATTATTTTTCTTTCGGATAGTTTCAACAGGTAAGTTACTTAAAGAGGAATGACATAATTTTCTCTTCCTTTCATTTAATTTTTTTTAACCTTTATGGTTATGAAGGTCGACCGGTTCGTGGCAAGATTTCAACTAAAATCATAGTTACTGACATGATTTTGCTGTTACCTTTTAATTTCGAAATTATTCGAAGATCATTCCAAAACAATATTAATTTTTCTGCCAAACTTGACTACATTCATTTTGAAGTGAACCTGATCTCTTTTGAATTTTCTCTGGAAGGGAAACTGAGGAAGATCAAAAGTGTGAAACTATTTTTTATTTTATACATAAGAATTTCAAAAAGTTAACTACCAATATGAAACTATTTCAAGTATAATTATGTGTCAAAACCAAAATTATACATTCTGAAATATAAATTATATACACAATACCAAACTTAGACGGTTGTTCCATTTTGAATATAAAAAAATTTGAAATGTGAAAACAGGCTTCGCTATCAGTTGAAAATTAATTTTTACGTAAAAATACAAATCATAACATTGCCTATTAGCAAAATGATCGATTGCATTTTCTAATTGAGAAAAAAACGATTGAATTTCATACAACTCAATGAAATCAGTATTGCATGCTTCAATTCCTATATATTTTGTTTTTATAGACTCCAAATATTTACTAGCACCAAATCAAATCACTTACGATGTTTAGAGTTTGTTGCATGATAAGCAAAAGAGTTGTTGGTTCTAACTTCCTTTCCAGAAAATTATTGTATTGTTATTTTGATTAATTTTCATCAGCATTTCTCTAAGCACCTTAAATTGAATTTTACAACTACAAACTTTGAAATATTTCGATAAACGCACGCGATTGTTTTTTTTTTCATCTTCATTTTTATATTAGCAAAATCGTATGATTTTGATCAAAGAACATGATTTTCGAAAAAAAAAATCTTTATCAAATTTCAAGCAATTTCATGTTTGGTTGTGTCTAGTTCTTTTTTATCCTTGAATTATGTGATTGAGTTGGCAAACTTCATGAAAATCTATAACATATTCAAGTAACACTTTATTGTGGTAACTTCATTGAGTAGCTTACAAAACAGCCACACGTGTTTCCTCATAAACTCACAATGTAGTGTTACTTGAATATGAATTGAAATTGCTGATTTCAATATGGCTATATCTGTATTTCGGGTTCAGATTTTCGTATTCCTATATTTCATGTTTGGGGTCTGATCACACGAAGAAGAAACATTGTAAATATTTATTTTCCTTGTTTTACCAGTTTTGTTACATATATCTGGTTCTCATGAGTTCTTCAGGTTCTTCAAGGAAGCCATGGAATGTAACCATGTTCCAAAAATAGGCTTTTACAGCTGATGTTCTGTTGGTGGTTATTATTGTTGGTGTCAGGTTTCCTCTTCCAAATTTTGAATTGTCTCATCAAAGGCATCAAAGACAAGTTTCATACGCAATATTTATGAGGTTTTTGTTAGTGTTTACTCCTAAATTTCCTCAAAAATATTTCCCTAATACGTCCAGAGGAATGAGGCTATGTGAAATTGATATAAAACTTGCTCTTTCTTGAAATTTTCAAACCAGGAATAATTGTGAAAACTTGTCTCAATTTTCAATCTGATAGCTAAGAAGAGATTCATAAAACTGATTATCACCCAATTGAGTAGAAGACAAAACCTTTGGAAGGATTTATATTGCGTGAAAATGCTAGAGAAAACCTTCAAACTGATTCAAAAAAGAAAAAACCATGAAGATTATTATTAATTCGATTTTACATGGTCAAATTCACTGAAGAAAGAGATCAAGTGATCATTAAGGTTACCACTAATAATCTGCATGTTGATTTAAATTCTCATTATCACTATATTCCATGATAGAATTTCATAAACTACACCTCCACAAACCTTTCACAAAGTTTGTGGAGATCAAATCGGAAGATGTGGTCTATGAAATTACTATGGATCTTCATCAAGTAACGACCGAATCAATCAGAAAATTCCAAGATGGAATATTAAAATAAAAAAGTTCGCTGTTTTCTATGAAATTATATCCATCACTTGAACATTTCTCTTTGTAAAATTGTTTATTTTAGATACTCGTGCATCTTCAATCTATTTGAAACTACTTCTTTCAACTATTTAATGCCATCGTCTGTATTTTTTTACTTGAATCAAAATCTGATTTCTGAGATTCGTGAATGGAATTAGTTGTTGGATAAATTTATAAGATTCTATTGAATTGCTGGGATGAATTTATCTACTGAATCACCTTTAACAATATTCCAAAATGTAATGGAACAACTTGTAGTTTCCCATTTCCGGTGAATAAAAAACGTCAATCTGAACTTCGAATAAATTATGTACATAATGAACTGGCTACCTCTTCTTCACAGCCTAGCTAATATTTTAATTGAATTTTTCAATGATTCTTTTCAGAATATACTTACTTCAAAAAGAAAATTTTTTTTTCGGCGAATATCTTGATGAACACGCTGTTTTTCGAAATTTTGGGAATCTTCGATAGTCTCAACTTTCACTGAAAACCCATTTTATGACAACAACATACTTCACGAGTAAATTGAAATCATTTTGATTATTAATTATTTATTCATTTCTCCAGTTTACTAAATACTTACTGATAATATGATGAAGGTCAACCAGTCTGCATCCAAGATACATAAATTAATTTCTTCATTCTGTCAATCGAGGTCGAAATATTACGTATTATAACATGATGTGTTCACTTCATTCATTTTCAGAATGTTTATGTCCATTGGACGCTGTAACTAATGAAAGACAAACTTTCAGTACAATCATCGAGAACTGTTCAAGATGATAACATCTCAAATAATAATAGTAAGAGAATGCATCATCACAGAACATAGAAAGTATTAAAGTTAACGGAAGCTTGAGAGATAACAACATTTCCGAGGCTCAAATAAACCAATTGTAGGAAAATCGCAGAACTGTTCCTCTGCAGGAATTGCTAATACCTGTATGCTACATGTGTATAAATTGAAACCTTCCACCACATCTGAGCAACTTCTTCAGGATATAAGGGGCTCTTTTCCTGAAGCCCAAATCGAAAAAATTAATTCAATGTTCCTACAGCTGTCCTCCTCCTTTGAAGTTTGTATAAATCAGTGCAACCTTGATAATGCTTGGGAAGAATCTGTCTGGCCCATGGGAGCACATATTAGGAGGTTTTTTTTTCAAGAAAAAATGAATACCTGTCGAGACATCATGATAACAGTATTGTGAAGTAAAATTTCAAGATTTCTGATGATGTGAGTATCTTTCACTTGAACGTACGTAGACTTTCGAACACATTGGACACACTCTCCATGTTTCTTGATGGTAACAAAAATTTCAGTTTTCTTTGTTTTTCCGAGCACTGGTTGAATGCGGACTGTTTACAATTCTGTAATATTCCGGACTATAACTTGGCAACTCATTTTTGTAGATCTAAATACACACATGGTGGTGTAGCTATATTTGTACGCGATAATATTGAATTTAAACCTCTTCATTTAGGTGAATATTGTATTGAGCGTGGCATCGAGGTGTGTGGTTTCGAACTGAGCATTTTGAAAATTGCCATATATACAGATCAGCTTGTATAGCGGATTGCACCATTTTCTTTAACAAATTAGAGGAACTTCTGATATCTATCTCAAAAAAATTCGAAAAAGTCATTCTGCTGGGTGATTTTAATATCGATTTTCTGAAACCATCTTCTAATCTCAGTGATTTGATCTGCCTAACAAACTCTTTCGGCCTTCAGGCAACTATTGTTGAGTATACCAGGACTGAAAATGGCTCTCGCAGTTGCATTGATAATATTTTGACTAGTCTAGATGAATCATACTATCAAACTGGCGTTATTGACCCCTGTCTCTCCGACCATTACGCACAGATATTGAATCTTAAAAGTTTTGAGACACAGACTAGTACCCCGACCTTCAGGAGGGAAATAACTACTATTGGAATACTTGCATTGGTTTAATGACGGACTGAGGAAATTGAGGGACACAGTTCGTGCAGTTAAGATAATATACGACACGACAAATGATCCTGTTCATAAGCAAGCATTCAAATTGATTAACAGTAAATATCAAAAAGCCATTACCGAGTCAAAAAAAACGGCATACGATAAATTTATTAAGGAATCCGACAATGAAATCAGAGATAGCAGGAGGCTGATAAATTTTGAAAAAGGCAAAGTAGCATCTCAAGTAGCAACTGCGTGATCACACCGCACGAATTCAATTCATATTTTACTACCATTGCCGAAACCATAGTAAGTCAACTATCGCACAAAGCTGTGCGAAAACTCTGTGAGATCACTTAATAATGGTCTTAAACCTACCTTATCTGGATCCTTTTTTTTCGAACCCATCACTTCATCTAAAGTTTTCAATGCTATAAATGAGGTTAAAAACTCCAATTGCCTTGATGTGTATTTGCCTTGATCGTATTTAATGAATAGAAAACAGCTCGTTGATCTAGGCAATAACAGAATATCTGATCTACAGCCGATTGAGCTTGGAGTTCCTCAAGGGTCTGTGCTGGGGCCTCTTCTATTCATAATGTATATAAACGATCTCTTCTATGAATTATTACCTCAGACATGTGTCATTTATGCAGATGACACATCGATCCTGTGCTCTGACAACAACTGTCAGAATCTGCTCGCAGCCATGGAACTTGCAGAAAGACAAGCTGAATCGTGCTTCAATTCAAACCTACTGAAACTTAATAAGGCTCGACTAATAATAATATTTCTGTGGGCAAAACTGTCAATTTACTGGGAATCACTCTTGACGATGCTATGAACTGTCACCTCATATAGAGGTATTAAACCAGAAGCTCTCTAAATATTTATTTTTACTTCGAAAATTGAGAAACTTTGTTAACATAGAGACTCTTATTTCGGCTTAGTATGCATTTTTTCATTCTCACGTTAGCTATGGAACTCTACTCTGGAGTAACTCCTCCAATGTCAGAAAAGTC